CCACAGAGCAGCACTGTGGCATCTTTGGACTCGGCTTCGTATTGTGTTCTCACTGTCGGCCCTGACTTCCCAGGGCTCTCTAGGTCTATTTTTACCAGCTCACTCTAAAAATACAGAAGCCTGTGTGACCCACTGGGACTAAATAGGAGCTCAGCCCCTTACCGTAGAAACTGTCACACACACTGGACACACAGAGCAGTAAAAAAAAGTGACCCGTATTATTGCAGCAGCAGTATTGTCGTGGGATTCTGATTGAAACCTGGAAATTCAATATCACTCATGAGCTTTTCTTAGAATACAACATCCCTGGAAGGTCAGATGAAAAAATAAACAGAACATCAGAATTTTCTACCGTTGAAGGCAAATATGTTTTGGCAAATTCATTCAAGTCATCCATCAAATCTCGAGGCCAAAGTGAGAACAGCAATGTTTGTTGCCACTGATGTTGAAAGAATGTGGGTGTCAGTCTGTTTTGTGTGCATATCTACTTATCATCATGGCTCTAATCTGGCTTTATATGTAAATGTGCTATAGGTTTTGAAAGACAGTGAATTATTTCCCTAATTTGTTTGTCCAGATAAACCCGATCACTGCTCCAAAGTCCAATTGTTGAATCGAATCTATTTCCCCAACAACTTGTAAAAAAAAAAAAGTCAAATGAGAAGAGGGAAATTTTATACCCGGATAAATTCGTTGATTGAAAAATGGCCTTTGTGTAAACATATGTTCAGGAGCAATGTGCTTCTTTTACCATTTAGGCTCCCATAATGTAAGAAAGAAAGGAAGAAAGTCACTTTTGGCTTTTCCCGTTTAGGGGTCACCACTTAGGCTCCCATAATGTATTGGACTTTAAAAGAAGGCAATGGGACCAGTCAGTGTACATCAGGGCTAGTAATGGACGACATGTTGATTCATCCACACGCCCTAAACTGTTATGAGGCACAACACACTGTTGAGCAAATTTTGCAAACATGGAAAGAATGAGCTGCTGCTAAAGCTAACAATGATGGTGGTGAGTGTGCCAGTACTGAAAACTCAACCCAACAGAGATTTAGTGTGTGTGGAGCCTGATGTCAGCTGGACTGGATTCTTCATTTTAGTAACTTAAAGAAATATTATGCACATCGGAAGTAATACATTTTCATCAATAGGACAAAATGTCCAGTATGTATGTCAGGGTTACACACACTGTTGCAACCAGCAGCACCAGTCTACAGTATTTGATGCCATTTGATCCTAGCAAACAGTGATCAACTCTCCTGCCTCAGTTGGATACATCTTTCTTTAAAAAAACAATTGACTCCATCTTGGTATGTTGCTTTTATTGTGAGACATGAGACTCTGTGTTTTGCTGTATACCTCCTGCACATCCCAGGTTGCTGTGGAAGCTGTAACATTAGATTTAAGGCACAAAACTCTTCTTACAACAAGTAAGCAGGCTGTCGGCGTCTGCTCCTTGGCTGCCAATTCACATATATACTGCTGCAGCCGTGGGGATCAAACCGGAGATGTTTATACTATTTTGTCCACCCCGTTTGTATCAGTGAGAGTAGACTGCATATTACAAACACTTCACTATGATGCAGTATTGTTCAGCAGCTGCTTAAATTGACCATAAAGACCATCAACACTTGTTTGAAACATGAAGGTAGGATTTCTTGCAAAGCTGGAGCATTGAACCAATCTCAGCTAAAAGTGTACTACTCTGAGGTGTTTGAACTGAGACAATCCAAAGTTATCCAGGTAGCAGCTGTCTGTGACAGGTGCCTGAGCTCTTCTTAACCATGATGTGATGCAGTTTAAGAGTAGCCGTTCACATGGAGCAGTGTAGCCAATTAATGTATCTCTATGCTGTATTGCCTGTTTTTGTGGCACCTGCACATGCATGTGCAGGTCACCTCTGTATTACTCCTACTGTTGTTGCCTTTTAAAAAAGTCTCAGCATTTATGACCTACATCATCAAATAGTGATGGCAAATACAGTTCAGAGTATTTTTCTAGGATTTTTAAATCAAAAATCCTACATGGGTCCGTTTATGAACTATAGGTGACTGCTAAACCTATCAACTACAGTACAGGACTATTTTCTGTTGTTACAATTATTCAGTAAAGTACCTGGCAGTCGACCCATTGGGTCGCATATTATTTAGATTTACATGTTACAAAGCTACTGGGAATGTTGTTTACTGAGCAGTGTTACTGTTTGAGTCAATTCAAGACTCAAATGTCACCCTAGTTTAGCTGTAATTTTTTTTTTCAAGCTTTTGCAGCATGAGAAATGATCAACATGGTTTATTTTTGTTTTCTCCATAGGGGGAAGGGAACAGGAAAATGCTTCCCTTAAGGGACACAAACTTTGATTTTACAACCTTGGATTTTATTGCAAATTAATTGCACAGCAGATGTGTAGATTTGATTTAATTCATCAGTCAAATGTCACCATAATTAATCACTTGTCAAGATTAGCTGTTAAATTTCTGGTTGTGTGTTTGGGTGTGGGTGTTGAGGTCAGGATGTAATGAATGCAGATGACACCAATTAAGTTTAGTGTTGGTACTCCAGGTGTGTCTGATTAGTTTGCGCCACCGACAAAAGTGAAACTCAGTGGCACTACATGCGAGTCAGATTTTGCTTGTTACTTGTATATGGTACTATACCTTTTAAAGAGTACATGGAATCACTTTGTTTTGGTTTTACAGCATTGAGTTATAGTGGATGTAATTTGGCTTTTATGACGGTGATAAACAGAAGAAAGCTTCATGTAAAAGTGGAAAGAAATTGTCACAAATTGATCTCCATTAAGTACAAATGCACAACACAAAATACAAGTTTTTACACTCACTACAATGCCACACCTCAGTCATCACTGGTGCAGCCAGTTATTTTAAGATCAGCAGTGTGTAATCAAGGTGTGATGTGTGATTTTTAGGATTATTTAACCTCAAATTAATAACCTGTGCGCTCACATTATTTACTTTTTTTTTTCAAGTTAATAGTGTCTACCCAATTATTTTTGTTATTGTATTTGTTTTATTATTTTTGGAATCTTAAGCCAGACTTTCCTTATCACAGGTCTAATCTAATAAATTCTTATAAAACATTTATGATTTTTAATTGCTTACTCCTGTCTGTGATGCTCTGAAGCCATTTTCTCCAGATGTAATCTTGAAATTTTTCAAAATAAAATATTTTTGAAGCTTTTAAACAGCAGCATAGAAGCATCATTTTCTGGCTTTGTTTGAGAGCTATGACCACAAAGCAGTTCAGTTAAACATTAATGTGCAAACCAGAAATTGTTAGTCATGCCAGCATTTTGTGGAGCCACTACTGCAGAAGGTCAAGGAATAACTTTTATTATATATTATAATACTCGGTGAGGAAAGATTGATTTGAATTCCTGTAAGAATTTATTGTGTTTATTGAACTCAACCTTCTCAAGTAAAAACTGATCCACTATGTTTCATGTGGTTGACTGCTTAAATATAGGCTTCATACACCAGGCATGGAGTGTGGATAATGGCAGTGCAAGGCTTAGCTGCTGGTTTACAAAAACTTCAAGTGAGACACAACATTTGCCAGACCGTTTAATGACTTAGACCTGCTGCAAAGTTCTTTTTGCAGTCCAGTCTAGACTGCACATGACCTCTTCAGGATTGTCCCTTGTTGCATTGTTGATCATATCAACTACAGAAAAAATGACTGGGAGTCTCCTTGATATCTGCTGTACTGGGATTCACTTTAGATATGTTAACTGTCCACTCAAAGGTCAGCGTTTTACCATTTGATTAGTCTGCCTTCTCTTTGTGTTGCACAAAGCAAGTGAGTCACACTTTGTCAACAGGAGCAATGTCTGACTGTCCCCGTTTGAGTTAATGAATGATGAAGTCCTCGGCCAGCAAACAAGGCACCGCTTTACTGACTTGAGTCTGCGTTAGTTAGTCACTAATTATAACGTTGTGTTTACCATTACCTGTCAAGGTGAGTGAGTGGTACATATGGTTCTGTTTGTGTGGGACAGCTGACCTGAGTGACTGTGCCGTGTGCAGCGGTGAGATTGTGTCATCGGCCAAAAATGGGACCGAGTGGAAATGTTTACATGAGATCTGCAGTATGTCAGCCAAATATGTGGGATAGGTGTTCTTGAACCGGCTGCGATGACTGTTTTGACCAGCTATTGTTCAGCAGCAACAGGTGTGGAAGGGTTTTGTTGAGACCCGCATATACTGAAGAACTGTTAAATACTCTGTGCACAAGTTGCATTTGTTGGATTGACATGTGTACAACTAGTTCATAGATTAGGCACAGAGAAGCAGAGGTTAAAATCAGAAGTGTGGGGTTATGGACACAGGCAGGTGGTGGTGTCATGAGGCCATCGGCTTGCAGCCATGGACTTGTACCGAGAATGAAGCCTCATATGCTGGGAAGTCTACTTCATTCTTAATGATGAGCTCTAGTCCTGCTCAGTTAAAAGCTGTTTTACTGCCAGGAGCTGAGAGCTGAGGCCAGAGCCTCGTCGTCTTGTCATACTAAAATTGATTAAATACAAATGTGGGTAATGCTGATAAACTCTTTAAGGTTGATGATGTGTCTACATAGATCTAAACTAAAATCTGAAATAATCAGGTAATTTTGTACCGATTTGTGCTTAAACTCTAAGTGAAGCTTACAATAGAGAATGAACTTCTGAGTGAGGGAGGCAAGTATTGCTATAGACAGTGTTGTGGAATGTGTGTGTGAGTTTTTG